GGCTAAATAATTGAGACTTGAGAGTTTAAAGAAGTCATTAAAGCAAAAGGGGAATATTAAAATGGCAAAAAAAAAAAAAAAAAAAAAAAAAAAAAAAAAAAAAAACTATTGTACATGGAGTCGAACCCTTAACATAAGGGTCTCAAGCGCACAAAGTGAACTTCAAAACACCACCAAGCCACACTACTTTTCCTCTCATAGGTAAGAAGATTAATTGTATATGCCCTTTTGTTTTTGTTTTTTTATGCAAATAAAATAAATAAAATAAATTTTCTAAAAAAAAATCAATGGGTTCAATGAACACACTTGAACCCATCCTAAATACGCCCCTGCTTGTTATTCATAAGTGTTCCGTGCTCGATTCCATACTACACCAATTTTTTTTAGGTTTCATTCACATAATAGCCATAAATACTAATGTTAGTAATTATCAATACAACTATTCAAGGTCTAGTTTCATAATATAAACAATTTTATTTTTCATAATGTAAACATTACACTAGTTTATTATTAGTGTATACATATCAACTAGATGAAATCACTACAAGTTAAAGAAGCAAATAACACATCCGTAAACTAATCTATTTAGAAAGTGATGCACATCACAACACTTGAAAAGTACAAAAAATATGGTTATGTATTGTTGTAAATACATATCAAACTTTCAAAATGAAGCACATTCATACTGTTAGTTTTATAACCCTAAATCCTAAACCCTACCCCCTAAACCCTAATAATATGAAACAATAATGATCATTATGTATTATTAAGCACCATTTTAATATATACAATATCTTATTCACCTTTACCAAAATAAAATTCATATGATAGCAACATCAAATGTAAGAAATAAAACTCCATTTATTTTATAATCAATAAGTTTCTAATTTACCTTTAAAAAAACAAAAACGTAATATTTTAATATTCAAAAATAAGATTTTACCCAAATTTATGGACATGATACTTACAATAATAAAGCATCCAATTAACATTTAAGGAGTCATACTGTCTTTAATAGCATCACCGACTTATTTTTATATAAATATAAACGGTACAAATAAATAAATAATGACATTACGTATGTGATGATATCCCCTGGTGTACGTAGTTGGTTAATGCTTTCTTACTATTCGTAAGTTATCCGTGTTTGATTCCCATATTACACCATTTTTTTGGTTTTATTATAAACACTAATGTATCCCAGTCTAACTTTTAAAAACCAATAATGTCAGTACTTATAAATAAAACTAATGTATACTAGTCTAATTTCTTTAAAATTCCATAAAACAAGGTTTTTTCAAGTTTCAACAACATCAAATTAAAATTGTATTTACAACATCAAAAAGGTATTTATAGGCCAGTAGTAGTACAAATATTTGATTGTTGATTCTAACATATTACTTAGTCATTAAACTTAAAAACATTGGATGTATACCAGTCGTTTAAGACCATATTCTCATAAGCACTGTATCAATGCCTCGATAATTCACCATGTCGGCTATCATTTGGAAATAGTTCATAATCGTGGGACAACAAACAATTCTTAATGTAAAACCAACCATTTGAGAATCATGCCTCAACACACATCTTGCAGTTTGTAGGAGGACATGATATCTTCTTTCACGATTTCTTTTTACTCCTGTCTTTTGTACCCATCTTATAGACTAGTCTAATACGGGATATCATGTGACCTTTAGGCTCCATCTTCCTAACACCTAGACGATTTACTCCTTTTTCACAATACTCATTCATTATTAAACTTGTTCAAACAAAAAATTGAAGCCATTTCTCAAAGGCATACATATGGAAAAAATTTGTAAATTCTTCACATAATTGCAAATTAATTGCATTAAGTGTGAAATTGTTGTTTTTTGAGGCTTCTAAGTACTAAAGATTAAATATTTAATCATGTTAAGTGATTGAAACTTTGAGTTACTAAATTCCATGAATTTTTTTGTTGAACTTTGTTGATTTAATCATTTTTTAGTTGATTGGAATCATAAAGTTTGAAACTTGTGATAGAAATTTGTTTATCTTCATATTGGAAGATATAATTTTTTTCAAGGATTCAAAAGTATTAAAGTTGGAATCTTTATTGAACTTATGTCCATTTTTCCAACTCTCTTTTATTTTGTCAAAAACTCAAGATTAATTTAAATTAATTAAATTAATAGTGAGTGATTGCCCTCTTATTTTTGTTGCACCAAAGTAAACTAATTTTATTAAAGAATGGTTCTTGGAAATAATTTTGGTTACATGCACTTGGATGATTTTAATTTAAGTTACACTTGTTTAAATTTTCAACTTTGCTCATGAAAATTAGTTCTAAAATTAATTTAGAATTAATAAATTGTCACGCGAAATTTGGGATTGAAATCCCAAGGCTATGGCACGCAAATCGAGGCAACACCTTCCTTGGATAGCCGGGTTGCATTGCAGCCCGCATGTGGCTACAAAGGGGCTGCTCGATGGTTGCTTGCAACCATGTACGTGACATGCGCGCCCAGCCACACACTACAAGAAAAAGGTCTAATTCCGATGGAACGGTTTCGACGGACATGAAAATCCGTCGGAAAACACTTAATTTCCGATGGATTTATTTTCCGTAGGAAATTTGCAACGAATTTGGAATTTCCGACGAAAATCCGCCAGAAATTTACGACGGAAATAAAATTTCGTCGTAAATTAAGTGTTTTCCGACGGATTTCATTTCGTAGGAAATTTTCGACAAAATATTCGGTCGGAAATTAAAGTTTCTGACAGAATTTAATTCCGTCGAAAAATTTTCGACGAAATATTATATGTTTCCGACGGAATTTAATTTTTTTTCTTAAAAAAAACAAACATACCCCCCAAACCCTAATTAAAAACGGCGCCCCCCCTCCCTCTTTATATTCTAATTTCTCTTTCTCTCTCCTGTCTTCTCACTCTCTCTCCTCTCCTCTCTTCCTCTCATCTTTTGAGTTTCTGCCCCTTTCTCTTCCTCACTTCCTGTTCTGACCGTCTCCTCTCTCCCTTTTTCTTCTGCCTCCTCTTCTTCTTCGCCCCTTATTTTCCTTTTCCCCTATCTTTTTCAGTTTTTTCTTCTCAATAGTCACGCATGAACATTGAACTCAATTGGGGTTTTAATTTTTTGTATAAATTAAGGTTTTTCAGGTGATCTAGAGTTTTCATGGTAAAATTTGACGTTTAAAACCCAAAAACACGCCAATTTTGGAGTTTTGTTGGTGAATTTCAAGGTATGTTATATTTTTTCTTACTTATTTTTGGTTTTTTGCGATTTGTTTTTAATTTATGGTGATTTTGGTTGAATTGCGATGATGGTGGACTCGTGGGTTAAGATCTGGTCGCGGTCTGGGTCAGTTTAAGGGTGGTCAGTTTTAGGGTCGTGGTCTGGGTGGGTCTGGGTCAGTTTAAGGGTGGGTTCGGTCGGGTATGGGTTAGGGAAATGGGTTGTTTTAGGTCGGGTCTGGGTTAGAGTTTGGGTCTAGGTTAGGTTTGGTTAGGGTTTGGTTAGGTCTGGGTTAAGGTTTGGTTAGGTTTGGGTTAGGATTTGAGTGGTGGTGGCAGTGGGTGGCGGTGGTGGTGGTCTGATGTTTAGGTTTTGTGGTGGTGTATAGTGGCAGTTGGTTAAGGTTTAATGGTGGTCTGTAGTGGCGGTGGTGGTGGTCTAATATGGTTGGTGGTGGTGGTGATGTGAGTTTGGTTGGGGTTGACAGGGGCTTTATGGTTGGTTGGAGGTGGTGATACGTCGTGCCGGTGGTGGCACGACATATTTTTTTTAATTTCCCAAAAATAGTTTATGACGAAATTCTCGTCGGAAATTTCCGACCGAATTATAAATTCCATCGGAAATTTTCGACGGAATTCGCCGGTGCTGGAAATTGTCACACGACGGAAAATCCTGTCGGAAATTCCGTCGAATAGTGTTTCCGATGGAAAATCCGTCGGAAAAGGTGGATCTTCCTACCAAGGTGTTTCCGACAACCTTTTCTGACGGAATTCCGTCGGAAACACTTTTTTGACAGATTTGAAGGTGTTTCCGATGGATCTTTTCCATAGGAAATGCACTGTTTTCTAGTAGTGACAGCAGCAACGCAGCAGCACCAGCCAAGCAGCAGTGTGCTGCGGCTGTGCTACGTGCGTGCGTGTTGCTGCCGTAGCGCAGCACATGGCTGATACGGTGCGGTAGGGTGTGTGAGCGTTTTGAGTGCGTGTATGTGTTTGGTATTTTGGTGTAAAGGGGGAAGCAGCCAAGTTGCACTTTTGAAGTTGTTGTATCAAGTTAAAGTTAAAGTTAGAGAATTGTACGTTGTATCAAAATGTACTTGAGATGAAATCATTTGAATATTAAGAACAATTAAAATAAATAAACTTTGTTTCAATTGGTAACCTCTGACATTTAAAATTTCAATTCATTTTGATTTATTGATTGATGATGTAAATCAGTATATATATGCAACCGCTATGAATTTTTGAGACTGTGATGCAAAATTAATATTTTTTTTAAAAAAATCAACAAAGAGAACGTTATTCTCTTGAATATAAACGCCTCTTGTACCCGTTCTCTTTTCCCTTGCATATATAACACCTCTTATACCCGTTCTGTAAACTTTACACATCGCCTAGCAAAAAAACGCGTCTGAGGCGTTCTACAATGCATATTTCAACCGTTCTCCACTACTACAAAAAATGACAAAGAGACCCGTTAAAATATGCTTGAGAGACCGCCTTACAACGGGTCTCTATCTCAGAGGTCTGTTTGATAAAGAGACTCGTTCCTTAGAAGGGGTCTGTTTGTGAGGACAAAGAGACCCGTCGTTAATGATAACGGGTATGTTACATAAGTTTCAAAATTGATAATTTAGAAGGAAAAAAGACCAGTTGATTGAGATAAGGGGTCTGTTTGGTGGTATCAAACACACCTGTTATGTAACTTAACGGGTTTCTTTGTTCTTTGTTTTTATAAAAAAAAAATAGAAATTTTCTTTAGACGTGGTTTGCATTTGAATTTTGAATATTGAATTTTTATGCTTTATACAAATTGGCAGAAAATTAAAAAATTGTAAGTTACAATACTTTCCCTAAAAATACTTTTAGACCATATGAAATTAGCCTCGGTAAAAAAAAAAAAATTGATAAGATACAAAAAAAAAAAAACAACCTAACATAAAATTCAAGCAAAATTAACACAAAAATATTTAAAGTCGCTAAAATTTACAGCTATATTATATCAATAAGGCTGGAGTACTACTCCATCTTCTGCAATTTCATTCTTCAAGATCCGGTCTCTCTGAATTTTTGGGGTTGGGAATTTCTACAAGGATAAGCCCATTGCTCATCAGACATTATTGAAGCGAAAAGAAAAAAAAAGCATATAACTTAAAAACTAAATTGAATTGAGAGGTAATTACATTATCAAACAATCATATTGAAAAAATAAGAATTCATCAAATGAACACTTACCAAATCAATTACAACTCTATGTTAAAATTGGGTATTCCGAAATTCCAGCAGATCTACATCAAACCAAAAATATACGAATTGAAACCCAGCAGATCTAAATCAAACCAAAATTATACGAAACCCAGCAGATCTAAATCAAACCAAAAACCAATGAACCCAAAAACAAACAACAAAATTCAAACCACAAAACAAACCGAAAATCAAATAAAAACCAAATCACAAAACAAACCAAAAATCAAAAAAAAACAACTCACAAAACAAATCAAAAATGTCTACCCACCACCATCGCTAACCCATAACAACCCAGAAAATAATAGAAAGAAATTCGAATAAACTCAGTGAATTTCGCAAAAATTGTACCTTGAATGCTTAAATCTAGATCTTATTGCACTGAAGCACTTCGCAACTGTCGTCGGAGGCTAAGCAAAGAGGGATCTTGAAGGTGGAGACTTCTCAAAATACAAGGAGCATGCATATGCTCGAAGAAGTCGTTGATGAAGGTGGGAAAAAAAAGAGTAGAAGAAACCATTGATGAGAGGGAGTAAATTGGAGGTGAAAGAGAATGAGTTTTTGAGGACAAAAAATAACAAAGGGATTCGGTGATAAAAGATGCGGATCAGAGTGATTGAGCAAAATTATGGCACAATTAGAGGTAAATGAGGAATGAGTTTTTAAGGAAAAAAATTAGCAAAGGAATGTCGGTGAGATAGAAAGAGATGTAGAGGAGAGATTGAGCGGCCAAAAGGATGGCACTACACCCGTAAATAATGAGAAGTAAAAATAATGTAAGAGACCCGTTGCTCCTACAACAGGTTTCTTATCTCACTCCTATGAATAAAGTTGTGGGCCCAAGGGCTTATAAGAGACCTGTTGTCTCTATTAAAAGATCTCTTACATCAAACATACCCGTTAGTTAAGATAACGGGTCTGTAATTAGGGGTCCTTTTTCCAATTTTTGTAGTAGTGCTCTATTCCCCTTTTTGTAGTAGGGTGTTCTCTGGATAACGTTTTGGCTCAAGGGGTCTCATCTCACTATCATTCAACCAAGTCATTCTTGCTATTTTTTCATAAAAGTAATAATAATGTTTTTACTGTTGTAAAATAAGGAGAAATATAAAAGATTGAGGGAATTGAAATGTGTATTCTACTTATATATATATATATATATATATATATATATATATATATATATAATATATATATATATATATATATATATATATATATATAGTACAATTGATAGAGTTTGCTTAGAGAATAATAAACCGTATATATAGAATATTCCGGAAAAAGGAGCATAATGGTCATCTACACGATATTTCATAACACTCCCCCTTGGATGTCCATTATGACTGTGCCTCGTTAAAACTTTATTAGGAAAAACTCTGTGGGATAAAAGCCTAATGAAGGAAAAAGAGTACAACATTCTTCGTAATACGCTCAAGATGCTGCCTCATTAAAAACCTTACCAGGAAAACCCAATGTGAGACAAAACCATGGTCAAGGGAAAAAGAGTGCAGCGCGTATTTTCTCCCCCCTTATGAATACATAACTTGAGATCTTCTAGTGTCTCAACAATGAATCCAATATGTTTGGATATCTTCTCATATGTAGTTAGTAAAATATCATACGTTGATCTTTGAATCTCCTAATCTGAAGTTGCATCTTCAATTCTTCAAGTCTTCACGTGAACATGTGAAGTGTCTTCATTTCACCATACATGTGTTTATCTCTAATATCATTATTCCAAATTTCTGTTTAATAGTTGATTTAAAAATTAAACTTATGCGATTAAGACTTCTTCTGGAAATTGTTAATAATAGAAATTAATGATCATTATTTGATCAAACATTCATTAATAATCATTTGATGACAAAACTTGACATTATTAATGTCATTCTTCAATCTCATATGAATTATAATATAACATATGTAATTATATACATTGATCATGGTTCTTCTGACCATAAGAAAACAGTCTCATGCATAAGTATCCCGTTTCTTTAGAAGTTTCATAATTAACTACACGATAATTTTTCTGCGAATAAAAATATTAAATCTCAATAACTCTTATATACTCAAACTTCAGGTTCAGATGTCAATTATATAGTCACATAAAAGTTTCAAGAGTTTGATAATTGTAATATTCAAAAATTTGTAGGGCTGGGTATTTAAATACGTCGTATATAAGTTTTTCAAGAACTCTTCTAACATGATTCATAACATGTTATTAAATAGATGTTTCCAATAATTTCATCACAACTATAAGCCCATTGGAATATAAATATTTCTTTGTAATTTCCTTCAAAGTTACAAATACGCCATATTTTATATATTTTGAACAAACATTCACATATACCACAATTATTGTATAGAACTAACGCATCAATATGAGATATAGAAAACAAAATATACAATGAGTAATGCATCTAACAACTTTCAATATACGCAATGAATAATCCATTAACCTATGACTTACACATGTATATGAACACATATAAGACTCTAAATAATGCAAGACATTGTACAATGTGGATTTAAAAATCCATATTTCATTAGACTTCTGGTACATGATAAACTTATGATTATTATCATTATGTCGACATCAAAATGGACATATATTTCAGATCCCTTATTCACTAGTCTACTCTATTATGCATATGCATATTATTCATCGGTTCCATAGTGTACCAGTATTTTAAAATTCCTTTAACGTACATTTCACATGCTATTTTATTATGATATCTGAATACATTTCTTATTGGTACCATCATAAATTTCTTACATCATAGGCCATCTATTATAATAATTCAAAAATCTATACCACTTTTAGGGTATTTCATTCTCTATGGTATTTATATACTATTACACTATTAATGTTAACTGCACTATCTTGCCAAATATCATATCTATTAAACATATATTTATTTTGGAACCAATCATATACAACCTACACTTCAGGTGTAGTGATTCAAGTACAATTGACAATATTTTATCTCAATGTATACACATAATTAATATGACCAAAATGTATCTTCAACGCTATGCAACATGAGTCATAACTGAATACAAATCAAATCATAAATGTGCAACATATCTCGATAATGTATATACAAAAGTTGGCACATATATAACTTTTCAAACTACCATTATAGGGATCATAAATATTCTTTATTTATTTAATTTTTTTTTCGATTTTCCCAATTTTTGCTATTTCTTCTCCCCCTAGGTTGGTAAAATATTTTTTTTTATAGGGGCGTCTAATTCTATACCAACTTAGTATATAAATTTGCATTAAAATTTATTTCATTGGGAGGATCACAATCAAAATTTATCTCTTCTGGAGAACAATTTCAATGAAGAATCATTTATTCATTAACTTTATATTTCATGTGTATTTATTATTAAATTTTCAATAATATTTTCTCTTCTGGAGATCAATGTCAATGGGGAGACATATGTTGTGCAGTTGTACGTTTTTCTTTCTTCTCCTATTTCATATGTGCTGACATATAATAGCTCCAATCAAAAGAATTGTTATACAAGCATAAATCACTTGCTCGTAATTCTAGTAGGTGATGATTTTCTTGATCTTTAAAGACTTAAATAGTGTATTTGGTGAGCTTTTGATCACTTGATAGTTGACAATAATATATAAGTTATTTTGGTGAACTCCTGATCAGCCATTACTCCTTTATATAAAAAAAATCAAAACATATTAAATCTTGAAATTTTCATCAATACAAATTATTATAACTCACAATCCAAATATAACTCAATCTCAATGTTACATCTTGCCATTCAATTCATTTTATATATTTAACATTGAGAAAGCGTCAACACATTATCAAATGAAACTTCAGGTTTTCATTATGGGTAATGATTATTAAACCCGGATGGCCAAATTTAATTATCACATCCAATCACTTCTCTAAATTTGAACTCTGGTCAGTTTTCAACACTAGTGATCACTTTATTAAACTTACTATATGCATGGCCATAAATGTGATGTGATATTAGAACACCAACATGTGTTTCTTTATACAATTGGCAAGACAATCAACTAATTAATATTTTATCAAATAATTACTTATATATACTCTGCTGGAGTTTTCACTATAATCTTGATACATGTTAATCTTATTTGACATTTCATACTCTTATGGAGTCTTTTACATATTCATGGAACATATGAATCTTACTAAAATTGAATTTATTCTAGAAATGTAATGAGATTTATCATTTCCTCAAATTTTTCATCATTGTCAATAGATGCTCCATTCCTTTTCCAAAAGTTCTTATATTTTAACTCTATTGGACTGCAAAGCTTCAGACATGCTTTAGGTTCATTAGTAACCGATATTGTCCTTCTGGGACAATAATTTAATTGGAGAATTTATAATTAGTATATGATCAATCATTTATATCCATCTTAAAGATGGTACAATTAAAAATATTTAAATAATATGCATGTGGCCACTTCTATTAAGTAAATAATTAATATTTGAGTTAATACATGTTCCAAACTGACCATCAATATATTTTATTATTTATGTGCAAGGATAAAATAATGGAATAATTAATACAGTTTCCCTTTAATTCTTGCACGTGGGACATGAAATGAATCCAACAACATTTAATTCTCATCCACAAGGCATAAATTTTTTTAGCAATACGTGTATCAAACATAATAAAGTTATTCTTACAAACTTGTTCTTACTCATAACTCTTGCCCAATTATATTAATTTCTTATAAGTATGGGCATAATAGATATATTTTCCAAGCAATGCAAGTTGATCACAATGTCATGTTTAATTACTTGAACTCATAACATTATTTCTAGGTCAAAATTGATGATATATATAATCATGTTTGCAATTTTTATGAACTTTATAATCAAGAATAATTTCATGCAAACATGCTTGTTACCTTTTAATCATTCAAATTCTCACCCAAAGTTCAATAACTTTAATACTATTCAATATATTTTGTATAATATTATTTCATGACATTGTGTTTATAGAATCACGTTAGTATGTAACGGATATCTAAGCAACATCTTTTAGCTTTGTAGTTCATGCACATTTCTTTGTATTATCCTTAAGGGTTTTGAGCCCTTTATATGTTCAATCTAGGAACTTTAAGTCTATGTGTGTGAATATTCTTTATAAATATAAGGAACTTCAGGTCTGCACATCATAATCAATTTACATTCATTCTAATAATCTAACTTCAAGTAGGTACATAATACTATTATTGAATTTAATCACACATCAATCAATATAATGTATATAGTATGCTTCATAATTTTATCAACTTATAAGGATAATAATAATTTAGTTAACATACTTTCAAAACAATTAGATATTTTAAGGGCATAAATATATTGTCGTAATGGAACTCCAGGTCCATATGTACAAGTATTACTCCAGATTCAATATATTCCTCTTTCCAATAATTCATAATAATATAAATTTAATTAATAACATGACCATAGTACATACCAAGTTTAGATTAATACGTAGTATAAGTTAATAGTAATAAGTGTAAATAACATAAAATTATGAGGCTTTCATAGGTAACAAATACTTTAAAGTATGCCATAAATTTATATTGATTGTTGCCTTATTTAGTAGTCATGTAGTTTATTTGGTCATGTAATTTATAACTAGTTACATATGAGTATGTCACAAATTTAAGACTTCATATTTCATACGTAGTATATTATTATACAACAAAATTGAATTGATTATAATATTAATAAACATATATATTTACAAATATGAAAACTTCACCTCTTCAAATAAATAAACTTAATCTTTCGTACTTAACTTAATTCAAATTAATTAGTCAATTTATCTACACCTTTTAGAATGAGAAGGTAAAAACAGTATGTGAACCTACTATTTGACGCTTTAAT